TGTTTATAAGAGCTCCAAATGTATATTGTATAAATTGTTTTTAATTATGATCTATGTTGTTGATGATGATGATGATAAATGATGAACTTAAGCTTGTAACTCAAATTTCTTGTGTCTTGATTTTTTAGTTTTTGTCAGATAATTTTATCTTTGATTTGAGTTATTATGCTTCCATAATGATTTGAAAAAGAAAAAAAATTATTCCATTATGTGTAGTACTGGTCGTCTAATAAGTTTAATTTGATATAGTACACATCAAGTGTTATTCATTTTATCACGCCTGGTAAACGTTTTGTCGTTCAAGACTAATAGTTTTAAGTTAGTTACCACTTGTGGTCGTGTTGCTTTCAATCGTTATTGACAACAAAAACAGACAAACATACAAAAAAATTTTAATGGAACTTTAAATATACAATATCATTATCGTCAATGGGAGACGAATAATGCCACATAGTGCATGTTGTGTTCGATACAAAAAAAAAGAAAAAGATCTAACTAAAATGGAGTTTGGTTTCGGCCCCACAAGATTTGTGGTTCATACGCATTTTACTTTTTGTTGGTGATATTGATATATGTTAAAAAATTGGAGCTTTTTTTTGTCACCCAAAACTTTCATATATAGTGATCAGTTTAAAAAAAAGTTAATAATGAAGTTATTCGTAATTCCATATTTATTAATTATGAAGAGAATTCAAGATATCCACAGTAAATACATATACATATCAAGAACGACTTCGGTGATATTGGAAATTCATAATGAAATTGGATTCTCTGATTCATAGCTTGGTATCAAAATATATTTTCTAATATATCTTCAGTCGAATTGTGATATATTGTAATCATCTCAAAAACAAATAACTTAGTCCAAATATGTATAAACAAATGATGAAAAGTACACGTTCAACTAAAGCGCATGCATGACAGCATGAGTTAAACAACTTCTTTGTATGCTCAAGGGCAGATTTAAAGCTAATTAATCTTCTTTATCAAAAATAAAAAAAATTAAAGCTAATTAATCGTATCCTTTTCCTTTTCTACTGATATTGGGACTGATTGATCTCATGCTATAAAATCTCATCTAGATTAATATGCAGCCATCAGCCATTTGTTTGTCATTAACTTCCCCCTTTAACCATCAGTATCTCAATCGAATATATATTTATAAGAAGTGGTATATATATATATATATCATGGTCTCGAATCGCCACAACAATGTATAGGAGAAATGGAGAATACGTTTCTCTTCGATTTTCTTTTATTTGTATATCATACCCTATATTTTAAACAATTCGATGTCTCGCTTAAATTTCGAATGTGCCTAAATTTCTCTAATCATAAATCCCATACAAAACTCGTCGAAGCGACAGGGACATGCATAGGGCACGTAGTTTCCTTTAAAACCATTAAAAATATATTAATAGAAAAGGAAACTTCCTAAAAGAACAATTTAATAAAATGGATTTAAAAAAAAAGACAAAGAAGGTAGGCAGAGGAAAACGTATGGCCGCGAATCGTAACAAGGGACGTCCCGACCACTGCGGAGACGGCGAGACGCTGACTGATTTTTTCTCTTTTGTTTTCCTAAAGAACGTTGTTTCGTGCTCACAAGGGTCAAAACCATATCCAATCTCTCTATCTATTATTATATAACTAAAAGTCCCCGCTTGTGCTTTGTCTTTATTCGTGATATATAATTAATCTAACTTAAATTGGTTCTAAAATATATATCTCCTACCTATGTGTATGCTGATCTCAGTCCCTAGTTATAGCTATATGGACATTTGTGAAAATGACGTCCAAATTTTGAAGAGTTGTTCTTCCTGCAACTAACTGTTAGCATGAGCTATGTTAAATATTGAATGTTGGCGCTCTCGTGATAAATATCCCAGTTGCATTTACATAAAACTTGATAGACGACGTTCAGTTAAAATGTTCCTTTACCTCTTTCGATATACGTGGATTGTTGTATGAATTAATTTTATGGATGTTAGTGTGTGTGTATATGTCGATGTAGATGTTGTCCTTTTGTAGTTACTTCTTTTTGTTGCGTAGTCCTTTTTCCTCATCCTCCTATGAAGAAAACTCCAAATAATTTAAGGAAATTTTGGTGTAATTCATAGTCTTTTTCATAACCACAGTTCTATGTAGCTATCGTCACCTTCTTCGTCATCAGATTCCTCTTTGCCACAACAAAAAATATCGTCTTTGAAAATTTTAGTAGGGCACTGAAGTCGTCATTATATTTGTCTTGTCTAAATCGAGCGTTCTGTCATCCACAAATAAGTTGTTTGATTCGAGCTTCCAAATCCATAATCTTTTTTTAGATGGCTCGCGAAGATTTCTAACTTAGTACGAGTGTGTCCATTTCTGGTTTTTAACATCGACGTTTTGTTGAGACCACCTCCTTTTACAAAAATTGCAAACGAGCCACGATGTTAATAATCCACATTATGCATGCAATAATTCTTTGTAGTTTTCGTCTTAAACTCCAACATTTAGGATTAAATAAATTGATTAATGAAACCAACTAAAATGAATACAAAGATACCAGCCCCATACTAATTAAATGTTTGGTTGCGCAACCTAGACAACCCATGATATGTTACGTCGGTAGAACTTACACCAAAATGGTCAAAATATAATTTTGGCCACAAAACAACATTAGAAACAAATTTAACAAAAATGTATCGTTTTAAATTATATTTGGCGTTAGGTTTGTTCATTATAAATATTATATTTAACTCATTGACGTATTTTTTTTCTTTTCGAAAGAAGATAAACATAATATTTTACGGAACCACCGGTCCAGTTGTCCGGTTAAGCTCGATGATTCTAGTCTTAGTTTTATCGTTTTGTGGAATCATTAACAACCTACATTTGATCTCTCATTACTTTAATCATTAGGAATCAAAATGATGATTAAGTTCACCAAAGACGTCTCTTATGGCTATTAAGAGTCAGACGCAAAGATGACCAGGGTCATTAAGGCTTCTTATATTCAAACCATTATTACTCCACTAATTGCTAATTAATCACATTAATTTGTTCATTATTATACGATAATGTAATGATTAAGTAGCTCTCAGCCTCTCAGCCAACAGGCAAAGGATGATTTTTGGATTATTCAAAGATTTGTGGGCTTCCAAAAGCATAGGGTATGGCTCCAAGTCTCCAACTACATTGGGAAATATATTATTTAAATCTCCATTGCCATTTGCCAGTCGTTGGAGTTATTTATTAGTTCAAATGGGAGAATCAATTAAAATTGTCAGCGGATTTTCTAAATCCTACTAGTTGGAAAACAAATCATAGTAAAAATACTAAAATAGTTTAGAAATGTACGGAAATCTACTATAGAATTATACGAGTACTAAACATATCAATATAGGCTTTGACTTTAAAATTAAAACAATTATTGTGAGCAATTAGACTAAGATATTTCATAAAATTAAAATATTTGACCAGTGGAATAAGCAGCACTGTTCATGCCCTCTCTTCCTAATTCTTATTATACTTTGAGATAAATTATATCTCAGTGTATTGCCAGTTGCCACTTGCCACTAATATATCAAATATATACTACTACATTTCACTTGTTGACATCGCTGTAAGTGAAGTTTGGCACGACCCACTTAAACAACTAATAGGGTTAATTAACCACTTATAATTTTTCCAAATTGTCATTTTGTCTTAATGTGAGACGTAACATCTAATACGTCTGACCTAAGAGTTGGTTCCGATCACCAGGCCCGGCCCGTCCATAAAGCAGGTAAAGCTATTGCTTTAGGCCATAAATAAATACTAAAAAGTTGAGGCCACATTTAAAATCCTAGGTGGTGTAGTGCTAAGTGTCTAAGATTACTTTCTCATGGTCAAGGGTTCAAGTGCATGTAGTTACATTTATTTTGTCCACATTTTCTTTTTACCCTGCTCTGTTTTTCACTAAAACGTGAGTTTTTTGTTTTTTTTTTTTTAAGCCCACGTTGTTTTATTATTATAAATCATTGATAAACATATTTTTGATATCTAAAATATCATGTAATATAAAATAAAAGCTATTATGTATAATCAATAAAATTTGGTTAAAAGAATATTAAACCCTATTTTGTTATTTTGCTTTAGGCCACCAAATTAATAGGACCGGCCCTGCCGATCACAAATTTGAGAAGCATCTTTCGATAAATTTTTATTTTAATTTTCACCATTTTAAGTAAAAACTAAACTAAGAGCTATTTTCTATTTGACGTGAATTTTGAAAATATCTTCTTAAATATAGAATGGGAAAGGGAATGTAATAATATAGACTACAGATACAAAAATATGTCCCGTGCTTAACACGTCCGAGTCATTGTCGTACCCTTTTGCCAACTTTTTCAAGTTTCTTACGTGAAAATGACTACACGTTTTAAATTGACATATATTCGCAAAATGCCAAATTCTACCCTTAACCAAATAATGTGGTAATGGATACAAAATAGTTAAAGTAAACAAAATTTTTGTGTCAAGTATATAAAAATTTGAAAATTAGAGAGTAAATTGATTTTTAAAAAACTTTAAATTGAAGTGATGAAAAATAAATAAATAAATGAATAAAAGTTACAAAACTGTAGTTTTCACATATATATAAAACTGTAGTTAGATCGCTCAAGATTGAGTAATTGAAGTCTTGAATTACTTTATATCCATAATTTATATATGTTTTTCAACAAAATACTGTATATTATTTCGTTTTATCCCAAGAAATTAAATAATATTCGAGTTAGTAATCGGTGTATAGCCTTAGAGCAAACACAACGGTGCAATCGCACCATAGGTTTTAGTATTAAAATAAACGATTTTATTGCAAAAGTTGTGTCAGTAACGAAACCCGCGTGTATGTTTACAACCGGGTATAGAATTTAATTGTGAGACAAAAAATTTTACATTATTTTATTACTTCAACTTTCATTATTTTATTAATAAAACAACACTAACACACCACTTTTACTACTGCGCATGGTCTTACTTGACCCAAGGCCTCTCTCAAGAAATTAAAAGCCCAATAATAGTTTTTCTTTTCAAAGCCCAATAAGTCAAGAGGAGAAAGAGACCGTGGTTGCGTTTGCGTTTGATTGAAAACGTGGCGGGCGGTTGGAAACTGAATCTTAAACCCTTCACCATCATCTTCACCGTCAAATCTCTAAAACTGAGCTTCGACGATGTTGGGTTTACGAAGATCTGCGACGACCTTGTTCGACATCAGCCAATCTCTGCTTCGTAATGTTACGGTGAGTTGCTGTCAAACATTTCAGCGCCACATTGGGTTTTAGGATTAGGGTTTCAATAGATCGAATCGATTCATCTCTTTTGGTATTTGATTTCAACAAATTCTAATCTATGGTGACCCAAATATGTCTCCTTCGGTATGTATTGTTTCTGGGTTTGTTTCAAAATCGCCTTTTTTGGTCTGGGATTTTGGCTTCTTGCCCATTTTCAACAGTTGCTATTGTAGAAGAAAGAACAAATCTTTGAAATCGAAAGGTCTAATGTTTAGCATTCTGTGTTAGTTCTATGGAGATAAAGGTCTAGGAGTGATAATTCTTAAAGAAGCAATCTCAAATGTTGGCTAGTTTTAGTCTCAGGTGAAAACAGAGGAATGTTTTGCAATTGCATACTATGTTGTTTCTTCTGCTCAGGTCTTAAATTTTAGTTAGAATCAAAGCTGCTAGAAATCTAACTCCGTCTGTGTGAAGCAAAGTTTTATCAAACACATTACCATATTTGATTCCCTCTTTGGTATCAATTTATGTATTTTTCTTTCTCTACAGTTTCATGGCTTACGAGTCCAAGGAATTCGTGTGGGGAACGCAGAGGTTCCAAACAATATGCCACTCAAAACCGGTCTTCAAGCAGTTTATGGAATTGGCCGCCGTAAGTCTCACCAGGTTCTCTGTCATCTTGGAATCACTAACAAACTTGCCAGAGACTTAACTGGAAAAGAACTCATTGACCTCCGTGAAGAAGTTGGCCAGCACCAGCATGGTGATGAATTGGTATAATCCTTTTATCCGATCACTTTCAACTTTCTTATCATGGTCTTAAAGCTACTCTTCTATCTTTCTGTCTCTCAAAACTGTTTTTTTTGTTTGTATCGATTTTAAAGAGGAGGCGTGTTGGATCGGAAATACAGAGACTGGTCGAAGTAGACTGCTACAGAGGTAGTAGACATAGACATGGAATGCCTTGCAGAGGACAAAGAACCAAAACTAACGCTCGCACCAAAAAGGGCAAAGCCGTTGCGATTGCAGGAAAGAAGAAAGCTCCTCGCAAGTAAACCTGTCTTTCAATCCATTCTCTGGGATTCATAAGTTGTAATCCATGTCACATTGTTTACAGACATGGCTTTGTGTTACTTTTGGGATGAAACTGATCAAATAAGTAAACTTGGTTTTTTTTGTAGTCTTTTTTTGTCATTGTCATTGCCATTGCAGGGGAAGAAGAATGCTTCAAAACTGTTCTGCAATAGCAATACTCTATATAGCTTCTATAGTCTGTCTCTTTGTGTGATTTGTTATCCTAAAAAATTGGATTGAAATTGAGCCCATCAACTTTTTGTTTTGTCAGGAAGCCTAATTCCAAATTTGTCTTCAGCTTATTGGGTAGTTACTATTCTCATCACTCGTTACTGGCCCATCGTACAAAGCCCATATAATTATTATTTAGCCCATTAACAATTCGTGTCCTAACGTCACCGAATTCAGTGCATTCAACACTGCTATAACGTCAACAAATAAAATTATATATCAACAAAATAAACGCAACTTCATTATTCTTTTTATATTTTTTTGCTATGATACAAAAATTACAACAAATATATGATACGGATCGGGACACGAATCATGGGGAAGAAAATAACGAAATCGAATTAGAATCACAAGAAATGAGACCAAGTGACTTGAAATTGATATATCAGAGAGATAAATTTGGGAAATAGACTAATCGAAGCCCTACTAGACCCGATCACATTTATTTACTAATGATCCCCTTTCTTCTCCACTCATTTGTTTGTCAAAATGATTCTCCACGTAATCTTACTTATTTTCTAGCTTTTTGAACAATAACTTGTGTGGGCCTTTCGAATTATATGGGCCTATTTTGAGTGACCCACAAGCCACAACCATGTGATTTTATCTTTCCTTTTATATTTCCTTCTAATTTTATTTTGTCCAATTTTGTAGTTTCACTTGTGATATTATACTCTACTTTCTACTACTTGACAAGATATATGCACTTACAAGACCTTTCGTATAAAAAGGAAAAGGATAGACTAAGATATTACTAAGATATTTTTCTTTCCTAAAAAAATCCTTGAACTATAGTCGACAAATATAGATGAAATATGTGGCAAGTGTTTTAGATATTGTTTTGAATTTGTATATGTACAAAAAATATGAGGTATAAAGTGGTTAAGAAACAGAAAATGCCAAACTTGGATAACAACCACAGAATGGAACAAAAAGAGAGAAACAGAAACAAAATAAAAAAAGAATTCTCATATTTTTTTATTGCGTGAGCTTTTGTGTAGACAAATAAAATAAAAGAAGCGTGAAATATCAAAGCGTTTGGGGGTAACATGGAAGATACCCCACCAAACCACCGCCAATTAAGAAGTTGCCTCAAACCCAAATATGTACAATCTCTTCAAATAAAATATCATCCTTATATATCCACTCACGATAATATTCCTTCAAAAAATAATTTCAACCATGTGAATTATTTTTGCATAAATATATTTCGTCATATAATAAAATTAATAACCAAAATGGCTGTCGTTATAGGAGTGAAAATTCGTTGATAGAGATCGAATCTTATCTATTATATTTTGATATTAGAAGTTTTAAGCGAGAAACACTCGTAATATTTTCCTTTTTCAAATTTGTATAATAATTTTAAATATTGGTGCAAAATATTTAAAAGTTGAAACAAGCAAACAATATGGAAACGGTCATGGTCAAATTTGGTATATTATACATGGAACTTGCAAAGTTGATAAGAGTTACATGGACTACGTACGTTGATGTCGATTTTCATTTCATCCAAACAGTTGTCCACTCCGCAAGCTTTGTGTTGCTCATGTTGCTTATGGTGGACAATTTGCATATGGTCTTATGAAGATGTTATCCACAGAGCTCATTTTTTTTTAACTTAGTAATAAGATTGGTCTGTCCATCTTGACACATTTGCTGGTATCCTAAATAGAGAAAACACAGATAAGAATATTAAGTTTCGTTTTTTTGTTGGTCCTTTTACCCGTTATCCAGAGTTCGTTTTGATAAGATTGGTCTGAACATGGTCCGGTCCGTCAATTTAGTTAAATGCAGCTATCCTAATTAGAAAAGAAGAAACAAACATAAAACAACATTAAGTTGTTTGTCCAAAAAAAAAAAAAAAAAACAACATTAAGTTTCTATTTTTGGTGGTTGGAAACAAAAAACGATACGCGCCAACATGTATCACGATGTTTTCTTCAGTAAGAGAAGACACCATCATTAGCGTTAGGTTGATATCTCTAATTTTCTGTCTAGCTGGCTGATTTCATTTATTGATTTTTTTTTCTCAAATTATACTTCCATTTTTTATAAAATTGAAAATATACTAACACTAATATGAGTATATAATCATTATTAGTAGAATTTTTCAGTTAACAATGCATTAAATTTGTAATCGTAGAAAAAAAAGATCAGTCATATTTGTTAGTCTAATGTATGGTAAAAGAAACTATGCTGTTTTTTTTTTTTGGGCGAAAAATAGAAGTATACAAAAATGATAAGAAAGGGATGGTTAAGAGAAGGTGTCCCCTTGTGGTGGAACCTTATGTTGGAATGTGAAGTAATGTGCCTATTTAAAATACCAATGGCCACATTTTATGGCTTTTAAATTTCAGACCAACTTAGTCCCTAACTTGAGACCACTAAAACTCCCATATTTCTTTTGTCTTCATTTTATTTTTGCCTCAAATGTGTCAAATTTGAGATCTCATGCTTGGCCGTTGTAGAATTTATATAGCAATAAATTTTTAATTAGGATTAATTTTGGTGATGGTTTAAAATATTTGAAAGAAAAAGAAAAACAAAATTTTAAACGTTATATATTGCCTTTTGAGGTGACTAATAAAGTGAGAATAAAGCCTATAATTTATAGCTCAAATAATTCAACAAGAAAGGTAGCTAATAAATTAAGAATTGTTTGGTGTTTTTTTAAGTGTGTTTACAGGTCAGTAAGTAGGCTTGACTTTCTCGTTGAACCGTTTTCCGATAATTGACTCCAAAAGTTTCCTCGACCCTCATTCCAAATTTCATAATTCAAATATGTTGTCGACTCCGTGTAACTGGATATTTATTTTATCTATATATATTTCAATACTCTATAATAATGTCAAAATAAGTTGTTATAAACAATTACCTTAAGCTTTAAACGATTAGCTAGCTAATTTTCATTTAGTGTGCTTTAATTTGTAGTAATTAAATTCATTGGTCTACCTTCGTTGAATAACTTTGCTGGCTGGTCTTTAATTTCGACTATACTTGAAACTAGACTTAGATAAAATAATGAACTAAAACAGAGTTTTTTTTTAATATACTCCATAGTTGGGAACGGATAACCAAAGTGGCAAAGGCGTGGTGAAGAAGATTCATCTGGATTCGGATTTTGTATGTATTACCCTAGAGGAGGATAAAATATTTTGTTGGAAGACAATTAGACAAAGACGTTTGTCTGCAGATTACATCTGTATATGTACTTAACACACACCTATATAGTATATGAATGTGTATCCCATAATTCATGAACGATAAGACTAATCTTCCAATAGAAGCATTCATTCTTTTGTATTTAGTTAAACATCTTATTAGGTTAACTAGAATGACAATTAAATGTTTCTAATTTTCATATGCTAACATATACTATAATGGTCTAGTGGTCCATCCATCCATACACCATTTATCGTCAAAATTCTAGGTGCAGATTTAGAATGATGTAAAAATCGATATCAACATTGATCTTACTATAGCTGACGAACCTGCTGATCGACTTACTGAACAACCTGCTGAGAAACTCGTTGAAGGACTTTCTGATGGACTTCCTGAAGTACTTTTTGTATCAAGTCAGCTTGTGCCAATTAAGGAAAGTTATCATTTCCTTTCCTTGTGCGCGTCTCAAAGTCATATATGAAAATATATGGAAGCCTGAAGATACTCTAAATCTTCTAGAAAGTGTTCCACACAACCTTAGCTGCATCTTCCCACATAAGAACCCGATGAGCCATAACTTCCCTTTTCCGAAGCCGAATGAGATCAAATCACAACGGCTTTATTCTGATCATCTTTCCCTCATTCAATTTCCAACGGCCATATTTTCATTTATTGTTGCGATTTTTTATTATTTTATTTTAGCATATAGACGTTGTACTTGAGCCCCTATATAAGCTCACCTTAGTTTTCATTTGTATTAAAGCCTTCTACGAAATAAACAAGTATTTTCTTCAAAGAGTGTCTTTGAGTTTTATGCATTAGAAATTAGTGTGGATTCACTAAAGTCTTGTGTATGTGCGGATCAATTAGCTTGTGGATTCGAGTTGATTTGTTCGTGGTTTGATTGTGGATTCAATAAGCATGTTGAGTGTGGATTCATTCGACAAAACCTCCATCTTTCATCTCTATCATCGTCCACTGAATCATCTAAGCCGTAAGCCGAGAGACCGAAAAACGTAAATCCTAGGTGGATTCCGAGGTTTGCATCATAGAAGAAAAAAAAACAAAGAACGTGCATATTTTCAGAATCTAGTTACAGTGATCCGTTGAAACAGTAACCAGATTTTTTTTCATATCACTTATTGTCTACGATTGAGAAGTTTGAGCTATGGGTGTCATATTTCTAAATGACGTACAAAAAAAAGAAGCAGAATTATGTAAAAAATACTAAAATAATTTCACGAAGAGATAAATGACAAAAGAAAACAAGACAGATCGACAGACCACTCATAAAATCAGATCTTACCGTATCTTTATTTCCCAAATCAGTAAATCTTTATTTCCCAAATCAGTAAATCATATGGTCTATTTATATTATTAAAAAAATAACGAGAGAAAGAAAACAATATTGATAGTAGTAATAACCTACAAGTAAGAAAAATTTGTTGATATTTGTGACATTTAATTAAAGGACTTTTTAGGCATGCAAGTGTTTGGCAGACCTAGCTACTGTTTAAAGCTCAGTCTTTTTCTTATTTTCTCGTTTAAAGAACCATTTCTTCTTTTATTTTCTTTACATTTATAACTAATTCATTCATGCAGACAGTGAGTACAGTATTCACTTATGATATGTTCTTCTTTTTTTGTCTCTCTGTTTCGAGAAAACTGTAGTGAAGAGTAGTATATTTTTTGGTTTTGTTAATTGGGAATTTGAAGATTTGTGTAGTTTATAGTGAAAACTTTGGTTTATTAGCTTTTTGTAATAAAATAAATGATACTTTGGTTTGAAAGAGAGATATAAATGAATTTGTGACTTGTCACCTGCCTGTGGGAGCGGGTTCGTTAGTTAATAATCTAGCAGAAAAAAC